GCTATAATTAACTAAAACCAATGAAGGAAAAAATTACACTTAAAGTCCTTAATCTTTTAAAAATTCCTTGATAACCAAAATTTTAATTAGACCACTTATATAAATATCATATGAAATTTTAACTCATGGATTGGGGTGTTACAATCACCGCTTCTTCTTTGCTTGAAAACTCCATGCCTAAAGATAACTCACCATTATTTATTGATGAGTAATATCCATAGTCACCGAGATGAGGCATATCCGCAAATTATGGCCCGTACATTGCACCATAATCAGCTTCATACATGTGTGCAGGAGGGTCAGTTTGTGCTACATTTCCTGGAACTTCATCATCATTGGAGTTGAATTGTGGTGATTCTGGGTGAATGAATAGTCCAGTCTCAGCACCATCCGCACCAGGCTCACGAAGCTATTCTTCTGGTGGAGATGATGGTTCCTCCATACGCTCTACATTTAGGTCGAATAACCTACTACTTGCACGCCTTCCCCTTGAACTAGAAGGCAATATCGACATTGATATCGAAAAAGCTCGCGGTCGAATGCCTCCCCCTGGAGCTTGAAGTCATCGTGTCAAATGAAAACTGCACAGATGGTTGCGTCGATGGCATCTCCATATGGTCAAAGAAATTTGCAGATGAATGCATTCCCCTTAAACTGGACGATGTGTTGTCATACAGATTGTTCGTGAACCCACCTCGGTACATATCGTAAGGAGTTGCGGATGAATGTCTCCCCATTATGGCATTAAAATCATTACACATTACTGTAGTCAGGCTGTCAACTTGATCAACTTGTTCAGCCAGTCCATAATGGGAGCTTAATGATTGACCCCGAACAGCACGCACTTGAACAATATATGCATACATATCAATATCGGCGTCTGAATAATTGTTTTGAGCTTCAACCATCATTTCAACATCATTATTGTTTGAAAGTTCGAACGTTGTATAAGTTAATGGCAACAATGATGTTGGAAATCTGTACTGCAACGACGGCATTCTTCTACTACTTCCAACATGAATCTTCCTCGAAATCTTTGTTATCAGCTCCTCAAGAGTTATGTTTCTCTTGAATGATATTTTAACATGCTCATTTGATATGAAAACAACTCTGGTTTCATCTTCTTGAATTTCACCATCATAATAAACAATAGCTGAAAGTCGCGTCATTCTTTGAGTTTAAAAGTGCGGCAATATTATATCTGCAAAAACAAATAACTGAAACAAACCTGATTAAATAAATAATATATGAACGAAAATATAACACATTAAAATTTTTACACATCAACGTAAATAATTTAAATAATATAATTTTATATTATTACATGCACCACAAAACTATTTCGACGTATGCTCTCGCTCTCCAATTTTACAAACACAAATTAATTGAAAATAATTAGTATAATATTTTTTTCTAATAATCATAATAAACAATAAGTATAATAAAAACAAATTTATAACAACATTACCTTATAACGAAAAATCGCACGAACTTCTAAATCAAATATGAGAAAATTGTCAAAATTATTGACTCGTTGACGGAATTGTTGTATTAATTTATAAGTTGAGATGAGAGATGTGAGGAGATATGAGGAACTTAACCGGGGGAGAAAGGTATTTATAGCCGAAAAAAGTTGTTATAATTATACAAGGCACGGTACCTGCACCGCGCCTTATATAATTATATCAGTTAAAGGTATGGCGCGGCCCCTGCCCCGCGCTATATATAATTATGTCAGAATTAAAGGTAAGGTGCAGCCCCTGCCCCGCGCTAAACCCTATGTGGTGTAAGGTGCACCCTAGGGGCCGCGCTATACCCACGTGTCTATGTTAGCATATAGCGTGGTGTAGGGGGGCGCCTTACCCCACGTGACGCCAAATCATCATATAGCGCGATGTAGGGGGCACATTTTACTGCAAAGGGTGTTAGATCGAGAAATATAATCTGACCGATGTTAGATCGATAAATATACCGGTCACCGGTGATATTTCGGGAAAAACGCCAATATCATCCCTAATTTGGACAAATTATTTTCAACAGGTGTGTGTACATCTCTTTTACAATTTTATACAATGTTTTTAAAATCGGACCGGACATTGAACCGGTGAAGGTATTGGTTCACTAGTTCAACCGGGTTCAACCGCGGTTGAACCGGATTTTATATAAAATAATATTTTTTTTAATTTTACATAATATTCAAAGCAATATTAGTATATATGTAACACTTTTTTTAAGTTTATAATATTAAAAGGTATAAAAATATCACAAGTCATAACATATATAAATTAAAAACCATAAAATCAAGTGAAACAAAATGATTCAAATCAACTACAACATAATATTTAAGGTAAAACATATTAAATAATAAATATAATTATATAACTATAATCAAAAAATAAAATTGTGGCTTAAAAAAATCATAACAAATGATGTCATTTGGTTTAATTTTTTTTTAAAAATAATCCCACATGGCTAAAAAACATAGAAGAGCATCCCAAAAGTTTAAAGAGTAAAAATATGAGAACAAAACAATTCCATATGACTAAGAAACATAGAAGAGCATCCCAACTTGCTTCTATAAATAATAGAGGTAATTTGACATTCAAAATCATGGAGCCTTTTGGTGAGCACAGAGCGAATTATTCTTTCGCTTCAATTGAGCTCAAATTTTAGACTTCAATCGAACTTCTAAATTTTTTTTTAGTTTGAGCCTTTTCGAGTTCAAGTTTTAATATTATATTTCGAGTTCGAGTTGAACTTGATAATTTTTAGCTCGTGAGTTTTTGAGTCGAGATGATCTTACTTTTAAAATTTTCGAGTTCGAGTTGAGCTTAGCAATACTCGAATTTGACTTGGCTCGTTGAACAAACGACGTTGTTTGGTTTAATTTTTTTTAAAGAAAAAAAGTGAATCGGCGGTTCAAACTAGTTTTGCCGGTTTTCAGTCGGTTCATCCCACTTCTACCGGTTTTCAACCGGTTCATTGCCAGACCGGTTTTGTGAGGTAATCGGACCGGACATGCCACCGGTTCACGGTTCAACCAATCGAACCGACCGGTCCGGTCCGATTTTGATAACCATGGTTTTATATAATTAATACATTTTTATTGTTGTTTTACGTTATATTAAGATAAACCTTTTAATATTAAATTTTTTAAAAAATTTTATATAAATCTAAAGTATGTCTTGTTTCAACTTAATCTAAACTTTTCAGAATAAAAAATATTAACTCAAAAATTTAATTTATTTTTAAAAAAAATTACAATATATTTCGTCATTATATTTAACCTTATCTTATAAGGGGACCGCTTGGATATTTATTGATTCTGCTTTTATCGAGAACTCAACCATCTGATCCTATCTTTTTACATTTGTGTTGGTTTATATATATTTTATATTATAATTGTTTAAAATATTTTGTTATGAAAATTAATATTTAGGAAATTGAATCACATGGATTTAAAGTATTAATTAACAATCAGATTCTAATTGAGGAACGAAAATCTATAAGCACAACGCTGTACAATTCGTGGATACAGAGTGGCCAAGCAAGACTAGTTCTAAAACTAAACCAAATTTATTACTTATAAAAGTTACCCTAACGTGCAAAATTGAACTACTCATATTAAAATTATAAGGAACGTGTACAAGTTGCAACTATTTCAGTGATCAGTGAATTTAAAAGACTTTTTATTTTAGTAATCAAATTTTAAAAATCTTCATTTTTAGTTGTATTCCCTAAATTTTCCGTAATACAACTTTTTGGTTGTACTAGAAAATGTTATAAATTTGTAAAAATTTTTAAGTTGAACGTGATAACATTTTAAGTTAGAACAATTTTAAATTAATCTTAAATTGAACTGTCGTATAGACTAACATAAATTCATTAAAAAAAAGTAAAACTATACATCAAAATAGTATTTTTTTTAAGTAATTTAATTATAGAAATTTCATTTTTTGTTAATTGAAGTATTATTTGATATATAAGCTGTGCAAATTTTATTTTACGCTTATTTATTTTCATAATAAATATATATATATATATTTTTTTTAAAATAGTATGGGTGATTATAAAATAATATATATTCATAATTTTTTCTTACCTATCGACAAAAAACATATATCCAATAAATGCAATTATTTAAACCCAAAACCTCTAAAGAGAACAACACTTCCTTAATCGTTAAGGTCATTTGATGAATTTATTTTAACAATAAATCTTAAATTTTAAAGCATAAACCACTAAAGTCTAAACTTAAAATGATACATGACATTAAAATAGATATGTTTGTATAAATTAAAATTTACCAAACTATGTATAAGATAATTTTTCCTTTTAATTATCTTTTTACTTGCTAGTTTTTTTATAATAATTTAATAATGTATTAAGTATTTAAACTATAATTTAAACTAAAAATTATATACAATTAAATTAGCTTACTGTGTGGTGTAGCGATTAAGGATTTAATTATCTGAATTCATTTTTGTATCTTTTTCAACTAACAGTGTAATGACACTGTCAATAACAAAATTTACTCCCCTAATCAAAATGAACATGAAAGCTAATATTTGTAAATTTTTAAAACCTGATGACCAAAATATTCTTTTTAGAAATTTACTGACTACAAGTGTAATTTAATGACATACTGTTTATGTGTCTTCTAGTATTTGTATCCATTTGAACTTTTGGCCAACTAATATAAATTTTTAAGATTAAAATTATATAAAGAAAGGGTTATAATAATACCATATGGGTCACCTAATACAGAAAAGTAACGCTGAAGGGACACATTATTCAATGGTGGGGTAGTCAATCATGCGGACTATGCAACTTTAAAGTAAAAATAATACAAAAAAGAGTAAAGTTTACCTGACACACGTTTTTTCTACTGTAACCAAGGTCAATAAAAGGAGTCTTCGTGTCTACAAGAATTTCTCGGCTGCTTCCGACCCTTCAACTGAACTGCTACTATGTATATTATACCTAACCAAGTCTTCCTCATCAACTTGTTCTTTTAATTCTTTTCTCAACTCGTTCAGTGATTCAGTGAAAACTGTGTTGAGTGTTAGCCTATACGTAGTTACAGACTTACAGTATTTCAGCATTGTTTCATCTGAACTTGCAGCGGTAGTGACCGGAAAAGATGAAGTTCGGGAAGGAATTCGCGTCTCAGATGGTGCCAGAATGGCAAGATGCGTATATGGATTACGGTTACTTGAAGACTCTTTTGAAAGAACTGCACCGTTTCAAACACAGGAACAAGCCGCCGGCTGCTCCCGGGCTAAAGCGAAAGCTAACACTGTATAGAGCTTTCAGTGGCTTAACACAAAGGCACCACCATCATAACCCGACAAGTCCATCGTCACCCGACGATATTGAAAGTCATCCCATTTTGGTGAATTCCGTCGACCGGAATGGGTCGCGAAGTTATGAGACTACGTTCTTGATGACGACGGAGGAAGGAGGAGAGTATGAGCTGGTGTACTTTAGAAGGCTTGATGATGAGTTCAATAAAGTGGACAAGTTTTATAGGGTTAAAATGCAGGAGGTGATGAAAGAAGCTGATGTTTTGAACAAGCAAATGGATGCTTTGATTGCTTTTAGGATTAAAGTTGAGAATCCTCCCGGGATTCATTTCGACAGGTCGGTGGAGATGACTCGTCTTGCTTCGGATATTGCAGCTTCTGCTGCTGCACTCTCGGCTTCTACTCCATCTGGTGCAAAATCAGCGAGCAGTAAGTTTCTCTTCTGTTAAAAGCTTTTGTTGTTTATCAGTCAATTGATTGCCTTTGATATGCAGAAAGGGCACCTCACCTGGAAGCCATTGAAGAAAGCATCCATGGTCAAGCCAATGACGACGACAATGGTGATGAGAAAGAGAGAAATACTCCGATCGAAGAACCCAAACCAGCGAAACCCGAAGTCAAGGTCATCAGACCCGCTCCACTTGAAATACTTGACCGGGTGAAAATGAACAATCACCTCGAGACTCCTCGTTCCACCATTAAAGGTGTCCTCAAGGTTGAAAAACATGCCGAGTTGAGTTTCAGTAGGGAAAATCTAAAAAAAATTGAAGAACAACTTAAGCGTGCTTTTGTTGAATTTTACCATAAGCTTCGCCTGCTTAAAAGTTACAGGTAATGCTTGCTTCTGCTAGTTTTCTACTTATTTCATCATTTGTTACCTATATACTCTGATTGTACCAATACTCATGCTCTTAAATTTCAACAGCTTTCTGAATACATTGGCGTTCTCCAAAATAATGAAGAAGTATGATAAGATCACTTCCAGAAATGCATCAAAATCTTACATGAAGATGGTGGATAACTCCTACCTAGGTAGCTCTGATGAGGTGAAGTTTCTTTAGTACTTCAAAATTACTCTGTTTAATGCCTTAATTTACCAGTGGCCTAATCTAGAAGCTTTTCATTGCAGATTACAAGGCTCATGGAGAGGGTTGAAGCAACATTCATCAAGCACTTTTCAAATGCAAACCGTTCCAAGGGAATGAGCATTTTAAGACCCAAAGCAAAACGAGAAAGGCATAGAACAACCTTTTCAACAGGTAAGTAATGGTGTAAACTAATGTCTTCAAATGTTATTGCTTTTCCTTGACCACGTCTTTGAATTTTTTTAGGTTTTTTCGCTGGCTGTTCAGCCTCTCTTGTTCTAGCCCTTATTCTGATCATACGTGCCCGTAACATTATGGATAGTGAAGGAAAGAGCAAATACATGGAAACCATGTTTCCTCTTTATAGGTACTTTTGTTTCGTTCTTTTTCAAATATACCAGTGTTTAGAACTTGACAATTCAAACATAGATATGATCCAAAGTAGCAATGTGATGATAACAGATAAACCATTTTTCTCTTGGCAGTTTGTTCGGATTCATTGTTCTACACATGTTAATGTATGCTATCAATATATACTACTGGAGGAAGTACCGAGTCAACTACGCCTTCATATTCGGTTTCAAGCCGGGAACCGAATTGGGTTATCGACAAGTTCTTCTTCTGAGTTTTGGTCTTGGGGCATTGGCATTAGCTAGTGTGCTCTGCAACCTTGACATGGAGATGGATCCCAAAACAAAAGACTACAAAGCATTCACTGAACTTCTTCCTCTAATGTTGGTTGTGGTAAGATCATCTGTCCAATATCATATAATTGATATATATTGACCCCATTCATTTTCCGACGACACGTATTAACTCTTCGTTTTGCTATGTTGCAGTGTCTATTTATCATCCTATTCCTGCCATTCAACATCTTGTATCGATCAAGTCGATTCGTCCTTCTCACATGCTTGTTCCACTGTATTTGCGCTCCTCTGTACAAGGTAAGTTGAAGAAATATATGAAGAAAATTACATAAATTTATCAAACAAAATCGTGGAAGAAATCTTTATTCACTTGCAAGTTTCTTTGTTGCTGAAGGTCACACTCCCAGATTTCTTCTTGGCTGATCAATTAACTAGCCAGGTTAGTGGCAGATTACTCCCTGCAGGTTTCTTCTCGGATGATCCTTCCAATTCATTCGAAGTACTCACATCGTTGGATTAATTTTTACAGGTGCAAGCCATTAGGAGCTTGGAGTTTTACATCTGCTACTATGGTTGGGGAGATTTTAAACATAGAGAGAACACTTGCAAAGATAGCAGCGTGTATAATACTTTCTACTTCATCGTGGCAGTGCTTCCATACGTGGCTCGCTTCCTTCAGTGCCTGCGTCGCCTCTTTGAAGAGAAAGATGCGCTGCAAGGACTCAATGGATTGAAATATTTCCTGACGATCGTAGCTGTTTGTCTGAGAACAGCTTACAGCATCAACAAGGGAATAGGATGGAGAATAATAGCCTGGATCGTCTCAGCCATTGCTGCAATATTTTGTACATATTGGGACTTGGTCTACGACTGGGGGCTTTTAAATCGCGACTCCAATAACTTTTTGCTGAGAGATAAACTCCTTGTTCCTCACAAAAAAGTATATTTTGGAGCCATGGTGAGTTACAAAAGTGAAAAAAGAACAGTAGTTTTCAACTTGGAACTCATCAGTTCATCCTACTGATCTCTAACGAATTATGTACACGAAATTTCAGGGATTGAATGTTCTGCTGAGATTTGCCTGGCTCCAAACAGTGTTGAACTTCAAGTTTACATTGCATCCGCAAACACTGACGGCAATTGTTGCGAGTCTCGAGATCATTCGTCGTGGCATATGGAATTTCTTCAGGTAATCAACAGTTTATTCATCTATGACCACCTTAATCATTTCCATCATCTTATCAATTGTGTAATGGATTATGAAAATTAGGTTGGAAAACGAGCATTTGAATAACGCCGGGAAGTATCGAGCATTCAAGTCTGTACCATTACCGTTCAATCATGACGAGGACGATGACAAAGACGATTAAGTTTGTAGCCACCTGGTAAAGAGAAATAAGTGAAGCTGGTGGTAGTTTTTGTCGGTCTAATGTACGAAGTCCACGCTTTGTAACTTTCAAGAGGGGTCATTGTACTAATAACAAAATGACAAAACAAATGTAGTTGAGATTCTTTACATGTAACGCTTCTATCAAAATACATTTGCTTACAACTTTAATATAAGAGTAGTAATGAGAGAGACAGAGCCGCCACGCCAGACAGTCGCAGGTGGTGGTTAGGATAAAATAAGAGAATCATTGACCTGAAAGACGGTACAGATTTAATATCTTACAAGTAGTGAATCAGGTTCGTAGTTCTATCGTTACTTTCCCTCATAAACTAACAAGATATAATAGCTTACAGTAAGACTGTTGCAAAATAAAATTAATCGTAAGGAATAAAGTAAGTGTTAGAGTTTGACTCACATTTATTTTGATTGAAATTAATGAAAATATAAATTTGAGAGAAAATAGGAACAGTAGATCTATTTTGATTAAAAGTAGAAAATATGGTTTGAGTAGAATTCTTATTATGACTATCCAATGTACTTCTGTAATTAAATCCTTATCCCTATAATTAGATACACGGGACTAGAGTTTAGAAGCACGTTGATTAAAGTACTTATATTTAGAAAAAATCCCTTAGTAATCTCTTTTTCGTCATAATAAAATTTCTCCTTTATGATTTTTTATGTTTAGATTTTCCACATAAATTTTGATGTTTTATTTTTGTTTCTTTTATTAAATTTTGGTTTTTATTTTTGTTTCTTTTATTTTACGGTGTGTCTATTCATCGTCATTAAATTCTTCTATTACAAACTGGTATTAAGGCGTTCATGTTGCTCGTCTTAATCATAACAATGACAATATTAAAGTATAATATTCCACTATTAGATCGTAGGTTTGTGTTGTGGCAAGTAAATACTAGGGCAGTTATTGCGTAGAATATAGTTTTAAATTATGTCTTGTCGGGTTTAGATGAGTTGCCTTTGACATTACTATCCATTCTATGTGGATTCGGCATTTGGTGTGTCTCAACACGTCACGCCCATTTTGTTATTTGTATCGACATATGTATACTTAGTATCATAATCACATCTTATTTCACAAGCGATCAGTGACCATTTTGTAAACACTTCGTTTTAGGAAACCATAAACTAAAATAGCATTCGAAACTTAAAATTATATTTTCAGAAGAGTTCCACGCGAACCAAAACCTCAGTGATTGGATTTTTTTTTTTTTTTTTGCGATAGCCACTAGGTCGGTACACTCACACTACATATATATCCTTTTACCATATAATATTGCATTTAAAGGCTAAAAATAATTTTATCTTCAAACTCAATTAAAAAATTAATTATGTCCCTTTTTTACATCATCATTTATATGTAGATATACTATGTACAACTTTTGTACCCTAATGATATTTCTTTTTTGGATAAGTAAAATTTTTATTACCCAATTAAGAGAAATACATAACGCTCAATCAATGATCGAAGACTAGCTAATTACAACAAAAGAATGGTTAGCCTATACCTCAATTGGTACATAGTTGCATATTAACAAAATCAAGCTTATTAAGTTCTCTATTCCTAAGTTGAGAACCAACAATCTCCTTAATAGAAATGAGCAAATCATCCATAGTTCTAGCTCTACCTTGGAATGGACGTCTATTTCTTTCTTCCCAAACAAAGTAGATGAAAGAGCTCCAAGCAATCTTCAAAACAGAGGAAAGAAGAGATTTACCTTTCCAACAAGAAATAGCCCAAGCAAGCTTGATATCCCAAGTCACATGAGGCTTGGTCAAGAGAGAAAGATGCAGAATTCTATTTCAAATAGAATCAACCATAGCACAATCGGCAAACAAATGATTTCTTGTTTCAAGACCATCATTGCATAAGGTACAAGAACCTTTAGTGGTTATCCCCATTCGAATAAGTCTTTTTCGAGTGGGAATCCTGTCAAGAATTGACATCCAAGTGATGATACTGAATTTAGGAATATGGAGGGAAAACCAGATAAATTTATGCCAAGGGACTTTTTCCTTTTTGGTACGAATCTCATCCCAAATATCTTTGCTTTTAGTATCTCCTGCATTGAGAATAGGGATGGCCTCAGCTTTCATTTGTAACAGCCTGTTAAAACAGTTGCTGTAAGTAGCATTGCTAGGCAACTGAAAGAAATCCTTTGATTTAATAACAAACTTTTGGTTCTTAGAAAAGTGACATAGTTTTCCATAACGAAATTTGGTTAAAAGGCCTTGTAAATAACTCATAATTTTAAATTTTACAAATTAATTTTTATTATAAAATATTTTAGATGTCTCATTTTAAAAAGCAACACAGGATCTATCAATCTTTTAGTATTGACCTATTTATATGTGAATTGTCATATCAATATTACGGATCACCATGTTAGTACAATAAACCATTATGTGAATACAGTTAATTTTAACGTTAATATCATAACGGTCAATATTTATCCTAAACTAAAAATAATACAATTAAATGGGTTCTAAAAAAATAATACAATTATAAAATAAAGACAAAATTATCAAAATTCTAAAATCCAAGAGTGAAAGTCAACTTGACTGGTGGTGATTCTATCAATTATTTTGAAAATCGGATCGGACTGGTCGGTTTAATCGGGAATCGTTACCTAGTCCAGTTCAATTTACATAGATTGAACCGCTACTAGTGAACCGACCGGAACCGTTGAACCGTTCGAACCGAACCTGCTAAAAACCGAAAAAAACGGAAAAAACCGTCAATTTTTTTTTAAATTAAACCAAACGACGTCGTTTGTTAAACGAACCAAGTCGAACTCGAGTATTGCTGAGCTCGACTCGAACTTGAAAACTTTAAAAGTAAGCTCAACTCGACTCAAACTCACGAGCTAAAAATTATCAAGTTCAACTCGAACTCGAAATATAATATTGAAACTTGAACTCGAAAAGGCTTGAACTAAAAAAAATTAGAAGCTCGATTGAAGCCTAAAATTCGAGCTTGATTAAAGTGAAAAAATAGTTCACTCAATGCTCACCAAAAGGCTCTATGATTTTGAATGCCAAATTACCTATATTATTTATAGAAGTTAGTTGAGATGCTCTTCTATGTTTCTTAGCCATGTGAGATTGTTTTGTTATCATATTTTTACTCTTTAGACTTTTGGGATGCTCTTCTATGTTTCTTAGCCATGTAAGATTGTTTTTTAAAAAAAATTAAACCAAACAATTCATTTTGTTATGATTTTTTTAGCCCTAAATTTATTTTTTAATTATAGTTATATAATTATATTTATTATTTAATATGTTTTACCTTAAATATTATGTTGTAGTTAATTTGAATCATTTTGTTTCACTTGATTTTATGGTTTTTAACTTATATATGTTATGATTTGTTTTAAATATGACTTGTGATATAAAAAATTATTTTTTATTAAATATTTTTGATATTTTTATTTAATTTTTTAAATAATTATGACATCGTTCGATTTTTTCAACCGATCAAATCGATTCGATTGATTGAATCAATAAACCGATAACATAACCGATTCGCTAACCGATCCGATTCTGAAAACATAATTATATCTTTCCATTTTTATCCATATAAAATAAAAACTAGTAACTAGTAGTACTCGTATTTAATTAAAGAAATATATTCATGTATGAAAGAGAGAGAGAGAGAGAGAGAGAGAGAGAGAGAGAGAGAGAGAGAGAGAGAGAGAGAGAGAGAGAGAGAGAGAGAGAGAGAGAGAGAGAGAGAGAGAGAGATTTATGTAAATAATTAACCCCCTAAAGGATGAGTACAATAGTAGGGTCCATTTAATGACGTGGCTAAGATAAGAACCACAAAGCGAATACTAATCTTCTTTTATTTATTTATTTTAATTTATGCCATACTTATCCTACTCGTCTCTGCTACTTTTGGCTCCAACACGTTTTCTCTCGATAAACTCTACAACCAAACCAAAAAATTTAAGGTTCAATTCCATTACTTGTAGGAAATATGAGTAAAAATTAAAAAGAAAAAATAAGAAATTTTATTTTTTATTAATATTACGTAATTAAAAGTAATATCTATTCAAAAGTTTATTTTACAATATCTATTCAAAAGTTTATTTTATAATAAATGTTTAAACATTATTACAGACAATGTGTTCGAACTCAACATCTTTAAAGATAATAATTATTATTTTAACAATTAAGATTAGTTGATTCGCATAAAAGTTAATTATAAGTGTTAGTATCTCATTGGTTGATATCTCAGGAATACAAGTCATTTCATATTGTTTTTGGGTGGTAGGTGTTGAAAGTGGCACGTGTTGTCCACGTTCTTACCCTTTGTGGCAGTTGATAACAATACGAGGTTCATGTCTTTGATGAAAGTCATTCCAGCAGCCAATCACACGACAATACCATCAAAATTGCTTCAACATAAAAGCCGTAGCCGTCTCCTTGCAAACATTTCAAACACCCTTCTTCCTCCTTATCCTCTTTTGGCTTTTCTTAATCAACTTTTCTTCTTGCTTGTATTACAAGTAACAGAATGGAAAACATAACCAGCTCAGACCTGCCACCTGGTTTCAGGTTCCATCCCACAGATGAAGAACTGATCATGTTTTACCTTAGAAACCAGGCCAAATCTAAGCCTTGTCCAGTTTCCATAATCCCAGAAGTCGATATCTACAAATTTGATCCATGGCAATTACCTGGTTAGTATGTTTTATGATTCCTGGTTAATATGTTTCATGCTATGCTGATTATGTACTGATTTGCCTATGGTTTTGAAGATAAAGCGGAGTTCGGTGAAAAAGAATGGTACTTCTTTACCCCACGAGACAGGAAGTATCCGAATGGGGTTCGACCCAACAGGGCCGCCGTGTCAGGCTATTGGAAGGCTACCGGCACCGACAAAGCCATAAACAGTGGTTCCAAATATGTCGGAGTGAAGAAAGCTCTTGTGTTCTACAAGGGCAAGCCACCAAAGGGAGTCAAGACTGATTGGATCATGCATGAGTATCGGTTAACCGATTCCAGAAACCAAATCAGCGTGCAAAACGGATCCATGAGAGTAAGTTAATTTGTTTATTTTTCTCTCGTTCATTTTCGTGTATTGTTGGTGAGTCAAAGAAAACTGACTAGAACCAGGGGCCTGTTTCAGCTGGATGATTGGGTCCTTTGCAGAATCTACAAGAAGAAGAACTCTGGAGGAGGAAGGGTTTTGGAACAAAAAGGGGTCGAGTCAAGCACCCAAATGGACTCAGTTTCTCATCTGCTGGAGATGGATTACATGAGTTCAGTTTCCCAACTGTTTGGTGAAAATTCAAGCTTTGAATATTTCCCTAACACCATAGGATCAAAAATACCTTACCAATACACTGATTCAGGGAAGCTTCAAGTGAATGAGAGTGGGTTCTTGAACCAGATCAATCCCCTGCTGCATCAGTTTCAATAATGGATTGTTTTCACCTTAACGAAAATGTAAAAAAAAAAAAATGTTAGCAGATAGGTTATATGTAGTTTGCTTGAAATTTGGAATATAGGCTATATTCTAAATATATAAAGGAATCTTACATATGAATAAAATAGATGTAATTTAAATATTTAATAAATATAGGTTATGCTTATCTGTTACAACATTAGCAAGTCCATTTGGAATCGATGAGGATAATAATGAGACAGAAAAGAAGATATTTTGAAATATAAAACTTGGATATTTAAAATTGGAACAAGATTGGCATAGCCGTTCTGAGAAATAATTGGCAGACTTTTGGGATAGCTGGCATCTCTTGCCCACAGGATAAACAATTGCTTGGAAAAGTTAGTAGGGAGTGGTCAAAAGACATTGTGTATGATGCCGTCTAATCTAATATATATATATATATAAATGTCAAATGCATGGGTTAAATTTCTCCATCTTTGTATGTGTGAACGTAAATAAAGTTTTATGATAATCATCATTAATAAAATAAAATTTTAACATAAAAAATATAGATTTTAGAACGAAGACGTGTCGAACGTTACTTAGCTCCGCTACTGCAGTGCACAACATGCTGACGTGGTTATTTCATTCAGGCATCTGGACCTGGAATCTCAGGATTCTGCTTTCAACAAGCTAACCTTATCCTCTAGCATTGAATGAGTCGTATGATTAATGAATGGGGTTAATTCATATTTTAAGCTCACTCAATTTAGCATTAAATTCTATGGACGTACGATATTTTATTTCATAGAACTTTTATTATTTGTCAATTCTGTTGAGTAATTTTCATAGAAAAAGCAGCTCATAATGCATTTGAGACTTAATACTAGTAGACCAGTCCAAAATAAAAGCCATTATCTAAAACTGTTCCAGTCTCAAAACCGGCAGACAAATGATAGGTGGCGGTATAACAGAGGTGAAGCCATGACTCAGTGCAGAACCTCATCATATACCTGGGACCACACCAAGAATCTCACATATTTAGGGAGATTCTAACATTTGGTGTTGTCTGTGGGAACCGAGTGGAAGGCCATGAATCACATCACTGAATTAAACCACAACCACCATTTAGTTCCAAAATCTACCCCTTCATTGCATTACCAACAAATTCCTTTGAGCCAACACAAACATCCCTGATGATTTTAAAGCAGCCGCCAAGGTGCAGGCTGCTAAGTGAACTACCTCTGGTGTTAATACATTCATGGTAAGTACCTCCAGATCCAGTATAAGGTGAACCTAGCTTCACTATCCTCAGCAAAAACATCCTATACTTCAGTAGGATCTTCTACAATGCCATCACTCAAAGCACCTCCAACCCCGTTGGGTGCACCAGGTCTGATTGATTGAAAGATCGGTGGTCAAATTAGAATGTTCCTATAGTTAACTAATCATGAGTGTAGTTTACCCAAAATTAAAATGCCATTTTGGGCTATGAATCCTCTAGCACCTCTTTATTTTTGGTATCCAATCCTAGTACCAAGCTTGCTTGGGCTTGAAGAATATATATTCGAAATGATCGGCTCTTTAGCTCCTGCCCTCAACCCAAAATATAATAATATGGGCCGATTTTGGATTACAACTTGGTTTCTTCATCCCAATCCTAATGCAAGGTATACAACTTGAAGAATATATATTCAAAAGGGCGATATACATTAGGCCCAAGCTGAAGATAGAGCAAGATCGGTCTTATACGTCTCTTGTGTGCAGAAAGTACAAAAGAAACATTATGTAATCTGTTGCAGAAACATAGCAGTGAAGGGTTGCCATCAGTACTGTACTTGTCACTTGTGGTTAAATATCAAATTTATGGACCTCATACCCCATGTGGTTGTGTGAGAGCTCATAGCCTTCACATTTCCCGAGCCATTGATAGTTTTTTGTTTTTTACTGTGGTTCTTGTCGTCTAGGGAACGCAGTTTAGAGTTGAACAAGGCGTATTGTAGCGTAGGGGACCATGTTTCCATGTGGTCTGCTGGAACCACCCGGGACAATAGGATCCTTCATATATAGTTGTTTTGTATGTAAGCCATTCGTTTTCAAGGCCATGGCAAATCTTTTTGCAATTGGGGTCTGTGGGGTTATATCTAGGATGGGCATGGGTCGGGTTCCCAAAAAATATCTGACCTGACCCGACTCGAAAAATATATATACTCCACCCAACCCGAACCCGACCTGATTTTTTGAGATAAAATTCAAACACGATCCGACCCGACCTGAAATAATAAAAATATTATTTTTGTTCAATGAAAACGGTGATTTAATTGAAAAAAATAATATATAAAGAGGTATTATTGTAATTATTCCTAAATATATAAGGTAAAATTATACTTTTTTCGGGTCGGTCGGGTATTTTTCACCCTAAACCTAAATCTAACCCTACCCGTACATCGCCTTTTAAAAAATCTGACCCGACCCGACCCGAACCTAATTTTTTTTTAAAAACTGACCTGATTAGGTCGAGTCGGGTCAAAACTCATCGGATTTGGGTCCCATATCCATCTCTAATTATATCTAGGGTTTACCTCCCCACTAGCCATGTTCTTTAGTGGCCCTCCACTTCCCATTTGGACATTGCTATCCCAATAATTGGATCCCAAAATGAAAGAAACACAAACTCTCCTTAAAAATTAAAATTGGCAAATTTGATTGGATAACGTGATTGCAAATTTTCTTAACTAAGATGGAATGAATAGGGGATAGGGGAAAATGTTCATACCACCTGACGTATTTAGGAAGATGCTAAAATGACATATCTTCTTCTGGGTTGATACGTTATTAAGATTGGCGTTCACACTACATGCAACCTAAGAAAGACGTGTCTTCTTAGCATCTTTCTAAAGACACCACGTAGTAGTTCGAGCTTATTTCCCTATGCACTATTCATTCCACCATAGTTGAGAAAATAACTTCTCATGCACTGTTCATTCATATAATTGTTTTAGGAAGATGATGATTGTAACGACTGTTGATAGTTCACCCTTTTTAGTTTATGAGGAGAGTCGTAGATAAAGGTTCTGTAGATATAGAAGGGAAGATAAACAATGTTGAAGAAGATGAATAATAACTTTAGATTTAGAGAGCGAACAAGAGAGAAAATAGAGAGATCAACGTTTTAACTTTGCATGACAATCTATACAAATTCCGTTAGTGCTTGTGACAAGTTTAAAGTAATGATGGTTACTAGTCGATTTACAGGGTGAGTAGACCCAACCATTATATAGTAAATTTAGTTGATGACAGGATTGACAACAGTCACATCAAGTAATTATACGAATCTGAATGATATAGAACTCTGAAAATCTTAACATGCGGATAATTGTCGGTAGAGATACATTTTGTGACGAAGATCATGACGAGATATAACAATAATCATATATAACATCATCTGTTTTATAGTTTATGATTATTAGGCTAAAACACATACAAAACGGAAGTCTAAATTCAAATTGCCTTTTTCCACATCCCAAAAGAAAACTTTATTTTGGAGGATGACTCTAAAATAAAACCATGTGATGGGAGGGAAACACACAGAGAGGAATCGAAGTCGTAATCAGAAGAACAAAAAACAAAAACAAATGGTACGAATGCAGCTCAGCATGATGGCCCCGACATGTAAGACTGTCCCCAAGCAATTTAATATAATCAGGCAGCAAAGTTAAGTTTATGGGATAGCATGCAGAAGCATAGGTGAAAGTGTTGATTATGGTTGCTAAAACCGAACTATTGAAGTGGGCTTTGCTTTGTTTTAAAGAAAACGGAAATTTCTTAATATATCGTTAAAAAAAATGTTATTGATTTTGTTATTATTTTTTAATAAAATCGGTAAAAAATTAGTTAAAATATTATTATTTTTACCGTTTTGTTATTATTGTTAATTATCGGTATTGATAAACGTGGTAGAAAAATCCGGTAAAAAAATAATGTTTTAGGTAATATTTTATCGGATATGTTACTAAAACCGGTAAAACACCCAATAATAATAAAATCGGTAAAAATAATAATATTTTAGATAACTTTTTATCGATTTTATTAAAAAAATAATAACAAAACCAATAACACATTTTAACAGTATTTTAAGACTGGTGCCCTTATAATTTCCCAAAGAAAACCCCTTACAAGATTGTGACGCTTCCATTAACGCACGTCTATGCTTTTTCCTTTTTGTTTAGGGTGGGATGACTTAATTGTGATGCAGACCTGGCTTCAATCTACCTCGAAAAAGACCAATTTCTTTAATTCTGATCGACATTAAATCTCAAATTGGATTCGGGATCATATCTATATATTGAATCATATCTTGTTTTTGACAAAATGGCATATTGTGATTAAACTTCAAACCTACTAGTTCGTAGTGGTAGAAGCAGCAGCTGGGTGATTAGTGTTTTAGTCACAGGTGAGATGCTGAAAATTATTAGCCATTAGTGGCAAACAAGAGGATTTTTGTTATTTGTGAGGTAGAAAACAAAGAAGATCAAATTTATTTACTTATTGAGAAGATTCTGCCTCTTTTCTTTAACGTGGTGTTTGTGGGATTTGTTCAGCCTATTGACACTATAAATATTTTTTTGGTTGAGCAATTTTAAATTACAAAAGCAAAATCCTACACACACGACCTACCTTTTACAGCATCAATGAATGTAAAATTTAAAACACAAATGGTGCAATAAAAAGCAAAAACTAGAAATGGTGTCGCAAGGCACATTCTCCGAAATTAGTCCCCACACATGCTCCAAAAATAATCAAAGGGTGATGCCCACAATTCATCAAACGGTCCTTAAAACCCCTCAACAAACATGTTAATTGTTTTTTTTTGGATAATTGTTAATTGTTTTTTACCCTCGCCTTGTTATCATGTTTGGAACCCTCTAAAGGTTACCCTAATTATGATAAAGCAGAAGTTTATAGAGCAATTGGGTAGGGCGGGGAATCTAAAAAACACTCCGTTAATATAAGGTTTAAAAAAAATGCAATCAGTTGTAATTCGAAATTTTATCAAGTGTACAATTGTTTAGAG